AGTAATTTTTAGTAAAGTTCGACGTAAGATTTAGTGCGTATATAACTTTCAATTCATAAGCATTTTACAGTGGATTCCTTATAAAATTGAATAAATAAATATAATCAATGGCACGTTACACGGACAGTTAGGTAGGACACGTGTCATAATGAAATAATTTTTATTTATTGTTCTTACAACAGACAAACGGATTTACTGCAGCTTACTGTGACAAGATGGGAGCCAACTAGTATGTCTGTTTTCTAATTTTCGTAACAATGGAGTAGGCCTAAACTGAATTAATGTAAATATCTTTAAATTTCGACGCGCAGTTTATATTTCCACTAACAATTAAAAAAACATAACACAATAAATATTACAGTAAAGTTCAAACTATGGCGTTCACTTTACACAATGAAGTATTTTGGATTACAGCAGTTTTCGGATTGTAGGACGTCCGATAGGGATACATTACTGTATTATATTTATGTCTTTAACACATATTGTTCAATTAAAAATAAAAATTTATGAAGTTAATAATTTTATGTATTACAAATAAAACATTATCACAGTCTTACTAATTGCGGTTGGTCAATTTTTAGTAATGAAGCAACCCACGTAGAAAAATTTCTCAACAAAAAAAAAGCGTACATGTGATACATTACTGGGGTTAGAAAAACCAAGTTAATTAGTTTATTTATTTTAGATAATTGTTTTGTATTTTAATTTGTATTTTACCCAATGGAAAGTTTCATGACGATAATATGGTCCATCTGTTTAGTACAATATTTATTAATAATAATTCTCACAATGGTATGGGTTTTTCTAGCAAGGTAACATGCAGTCAGTATGTATAGGTTGCAGATTACAAACATTTTTGCTGCGGTCGTTGAGAATGGCCAACACGTGTCACAGACAAAGGAAAAAGTTTATAATTTCCCAATACGTTTGGTAAAGGATTAAAATTCCGAAAACGATGTTTTGTGACAATATTTTTTATATATGTACCTTAATTTGACTGACTAAATAATATGACAAATAAAAATAAACATTTCTTACTGCTAAATTACAACAACAACGTTTAATTTCAAATCAACATGAAGTAAAGTAACAGTAAATATAAAATGTAAAAAATAGTTATTTGTTACAAGCAGGGTACAGTTGTAATCAAGGAGACTAGAGAGCAGAACAAAATGCTATATTTACAGCACGACGCCGCTAATACGAAAAATAGGGTCATACCAGCTGGCGCTGCTCTATGTATTGAATCCTACTTGGAAACATTACCTCCTCAGAAACAAATTGAGCATCTACATATTTCGAAAACGAGGAGGATTGTTGTAAAATTGAATTTTGACTAAATATGGCGACTTCCATGAATATGAAACGTCGTCAACAAGTGTATTTGGGTTCGGAAAACAGCGGGATTATAGAAAATTTTTCATGTAATTAACTTTTATTTATGCATAATTTGTGCAGTTCATTGGCCATTGGGTCCCATGTCAAATTGTCAACCCCATGTTAACTTGCACATATTTTAGTGACTTAGTGTGACTTGATGATTGTTAACTGGATTTAACAATAATCAAATTTTTGATTTGGGTTTATGCAACCGGCCCTAGATTTTTGCTATGATTATTGAACATTGTCGTTTTTTTCCATTTTCCTTTTTGGTTGTATTGAGTTACTACTTGAGATCGACTAGTATCTATTCAAGTAATAGCATCATCTAGGAAATCTAGAAACCCTTTAAGTTGATACTCAGTTTTATTCATACCACCCTATATTTCGTCCCAGCTGGAACTATAAGTTCGTTCTCCTTCTATATAATCCCCTTGGTTCTAGTTATACTAATGCAGAAATTCTACTAAGGCTTTCTCAAATTATCATATTTCACGAATCACTAAAATCATTGTAACATTTGCTTTAATCATGAAGGTAGAATGACAGGAGGGAAATGAAGTATACTATCCTCAAACATATTTGGCGTTTATGACTTCACACCAATTTGACTCCCATTATAATTCAATAGGCCGTCACAACCGGATGTCTTAAACCCGCTCACCGATACCTACCTGAAAAGACCTTTTCTGGTAAAAGCACAGGGCAGGACTGAGTTTTGCATTTACCGACAACTGCGCCTTTCGAGTTTTTTATTTTAAGTAAAAACAAAGTAACTTTGTACTCAATCATTTTTTATTACAGCACAACTATTTACTTATTAACTACTACTGCTTATTTATTGATCGAAATAGTCATTGTCATCATCACTCGACTCTTCTAAATTAATAATTAACGGTGTTATCAACCGTGCCCTGTGCTGGTCTTCTTCTTTTGTGGAATGTCGTACACAATTGGCCCACTTTTCGGCAGTTATTTTGGAAGCTTCTTCCCTAATTATCTCAATTGTTGCACTACTAAATTTTGGTGCCGTATTATTCCTTCTTATATTATTTTTCATTATACCCACCTACCCACATCGGGAACCGTTGGTCAACAACGGAGAATCAAAGGCGGAGATGTTTGGTTTAAAATGAATTCATAGGTAGTACAATTGTCTTACAATTTGCTTAATTATCGAATAATAACAAACACGAAAACTCATATAACTTTAACCGATTTTATAATATCTGATTAAATAGTTTTTGTATTTCATACCCAGTATCCCGTAAACGCTTTCCAGCACGCCACTGGAATCATTTATGACCCCTGTCGAAAGCGTGGTACGCGCCACTTTTTCAAATCATCTTCCCTCCACTTATTCTAACTCTATGATTTTAACCCAGAATAATATATTTAGTACCAGAGCAGCGTGCCTTTTTAACAGAACAATAGACCCACGTCAGAATATCAAAATAATAGTGAAAGTGTAGTCAGACTGAATTAATTAATATTATTATCTAATTTTAGCACTTCCGTTGATGTTATTCTCTCTGCATTGAAAGATATTGAAAATTAATTACGATGGATTGAAATTCCAAAATTAAGGATACTCTTAGAGACAATGCAGGTTTTTTTAGAAGACTCATGACAAAAAAAAAAACATAAATCAAAATCTACATCTACACCCGAAAAGAACAAAAAAGTGATAAGACTGATAAGAAATTTACAGTAGACTGTGAAAACTTTTAGTATTTTTTTGGTTTTATAACTACAGTCAACTGAAGCTGAAGAAGAGAACTGTTTCTGTTTGATGTAGTTAGAACTTTACACGACAAAGATGGATCTAGTGTGTTTGTTACACTGGCAGTCACAGTGAATTTTCAATTAAATATCTGACTTTTGTTTTCCAGTGTTTGCGTTCGTTAAGTTATAGAATATTTATTTATCTTGTGATTCATAATGTGATATAGAAATAACGAATTGTAAAATAGTTCTTATTTTATAATTACACTTATAACTTGGGAATTATAAATGAGAAAAAATTAATCGAAGGTTATTTTCACTGAACTTCCCTCGCCCCTATAAGTTAAAAATAGAGATCTGTATGTACTGTTAAAGTAAATGTAAAGAAACGTGCTACGCGCATGTTTCAAATGAGTTTTCCCTTTACAAAATTGTATTGTATTCCCAAATTTTCGGGGAAAATGGAATGCACCATTCCTGATGATTTAAACAATACAATAAATTGACTCATTAATTATTTTTTTGAGTCACCCTGTGTAAACAATTATTAGAAATATGAACCCAATGATAAATCACAAGTACATATTTTGCACATTTTCGATAGGATTTATTAGGCAAAATTTTGAGATTATGTCATCAACTTTTTGGAGGACAAACAGATATATTTTGATTAAAATTTACCGTGCTTAAGGTAACTTATTTAAAAAAAAAATTTCAAAGCATTCGGTTTTGCAATTCCTCATTTAATCAACACAATACATTTTTTGAGTCACCCTTTATAAGCAATTCTAAAAAATATGAATGCAATCATAAATCACAAGCATAGACTCATCATATTTTGTACATTCTCGATAGGATTTATTCGGCAAAATTTTGAGATTACGTCATCAATTTTTTGGGGGGGATAAACAGATATATTTTGAATAAAAAAATTACCAAGCTTATGATAACTTTCAAACGCCTGCAAGATGTCAAAGGATTGGGTTTTTTACAGATTCAAAATTCAACTGCAAAAAGATTGTTGTAAAATTTTGATTTTTTTCCAGAAATCTGTATATCTCAGGTAAAAACGGATTCATAAACTGCAGGTGTAGAACTCTGTTATTTCATACAATTTAAAACTCATTTACGATGTACAATTTTGAGGTGACGTCATTATATTGTTGATGGGGATGATTAGACAAAGTTTGGTTAGCGTTTTACCATCTATGTAATATACATAACACACATATACAATTTGACAACAATCGGAGCGGTAGTTTCGGATCGACTTGATTACAATACTTCCTTAGCTTACATTCGGCAATTAAAAAAAATCTACCCCCACAATCACCCTTAAATTTAAAAATATGTATACGAAAAATTTTGCTAAACGCTTCTAAACGTTTGGTGTTACAAACATACACGAAAGCAACGTTCAGGAAAATGTGTGATATATTTTAAAATTAGGGGCCGCTTGTGAATTTAGAATAATTTTTTGTTATTATTACATCCTTGCATATGTTCAGCAATTTAGAGGTACTTGTGGGGCTAAACTACACAAGAAAGTACATTCAGCAGCTTACAAGTTGTCGAATATTTTTGAATTTGTGGTCGTGGCGTGGGTTGATTTTTTTTGTGTTGAAGTAGTACAGCATATCCGTACAAGTTAAAATAAAGATTAGTTTGTAGTGTTAAAGTAAAGGTAACGACGGGCGTATGTTTCCAGTGAGTTTTTCCATTACAAAATTTTGCGATGAAATCATTAACATTGTAGTGGGGACCTACTGTTTTACACTCTAGAGGTCACGATACGTCGACAAAAGAGCAGTCGTACACCGGATGGACCCTATCACTTACGCCTAGGAAGTAAAAACAACAATAATTATTCTGCATTGCGGTTATTTTCACTTGCAAGAAAGCAGTTGCACTGGTTCATTAAACAGCAAAAAAAAACAAAAAAGCATTTCGTGTGGTTGCAAGTTACCCACTGCACTATTATTAGGTATTTGCATGCAGTCACTTGTCTATTTGTTCGTAAATGCGGCTTAGAAATGAACAACAAATTGTTAATTGTGCTTCTGTTAATACTCATCGTTTCTCAAGCAATTATAGATGAACAAGTTATTGACTTTTACTCTGATATAATTTCAAAAGTTTATGACAATGGATTACGATACAGATTTCCTAAAAATGCCTTTGAACACTGTGCAACTGAAAAACCGAAAAGTGAGTAAATATTTCATTGTAAATTTATTGTAATTCATAAATGCAAAAACATATTTTGAAGTACTAAATTAACAGAATATGGAAGTTACGATTTCGTTATAATTGGAGCTGGTGCCGGAGGTTCAGTGTCTGCAAATCGATTGACAGAAGTGCCTTACTGGAACGTGTTATTACTAGAAGCTGGACAATATGGTAATATTTTAACAGACATCCCTGATATGTTCTATCCTATTCAGTTTACTCATTATAATTGGGCTTACAACAGTACTCCACAGAAGACAGCATGCTTAGGTAAGGTTTGATAAAAAATGCGCATTCTAAAATAGTTGTAATAAATTATTTGTTAATAACAAAAGAATATTAGTAGTATGGCATTTAAGGTAAGTGGATTGTTAAGCTGCGTGATACGTTTGACTTATATGTAGTTTGCTTCAAAACTTGAAGAAAATTACCAAACACTTTTTGTGTACCTATATAGGGTTATTTCTCGCCTAAAAACATCAAAACGCAACCAATAATACAGTTACATAGCACTCTTTGATCTTCACTATCAGTATTTTAAGTAAAACTTAATTAGCTGTTTGATGGTGTTGATAATTTGGAAATGAACGTCAATTATTAGGTTAAAATCAAAAACAAACAAGTTCAAAATAAGAGTCAGGACATCTCCTGTTTTCTACACAACTGTGAAGCACTTATTATAATTATATCAAAATCACCTCAATTTTTTCATCGTTTGAAGACACTATCAATTCTGACGAAATGTCAGTTTTAACATAATAGTGCATAATAGTTAGTATCATTAGTATCTGACACTACGTGTTGTTACACAAAACAGATAACTATGGTTTACTTTTTTGAATGGCATGAAATATTAAAGATGGTTTTGAAATTGTATTTCTGGTTGCGTCTTAAATTTTTTAGGTTTGGATCTTCTTGCGCATAACTTTGTATGTATATATATATATATATATATATATATAAGGTACATATTTTATTGAATTCAATCAGAATTTTGAAAATATGATGAATACACCAATAATCCAATAGTTCCACCTTTTGATAGTTTTTACTGGTGTTGTAGGAATATTTGTCACAAAAAAGTAGGTAGTGGTAGTGTAGTAGGTACTTATTGTTAACGTTTGCCTTCCATTCAATGAAAGCACAGCTTAGCACAAATTATTGTGTAGATCTTGTCTGTTACAACTTAATTTTTTGTTAGTGGATTGGCTGCAGCAAAAACTTTAGCATAACCAATTGTGTACTACGAGAAAATAATAAAAACTGCGTTTGAAAATTAAACGCTGTTGGATCTTAATACTTACTTGGAAAAACAACGTCTGTTATAAATGGAGCTGTGCGGTTGAAATTTATTTATCCCCACTATCCGTCCCATCAGGCCAGCAGTGCAGGCCGCTGCAGTCTTGCCTTCCTCGCTTCTCGCTTCCCATTGTGTATTATTTTTCATAATTCACATCAATCGTTTTATTGTCAACGAGACCGACACTTGAACATTATTAAAATTATTATTCTTATTAATTCGTGGATATGGATTTTAAAATCATCAACTGACTTTCAGTGAACATTATTTTTCGCGTAAATTTCTTCGCGATACGTAACATCGGCTGCGAGCCGCTGGTCTGCCGTAGTAGGGGTCGATTCGAAGCGTTTAAATTTCGACCGCACAGCTCTAGTTATAAACAACATCTTGCTGCAGTCTTTGGCCCATGTACAAATTATAAGAACACCAATGTTTTAACAGTGGCGTTTTGTCTGTCACCTAATAAAAGGGTTGTTTGAAAAAACGTAAGTCCGAGTAAAGTTCTCCAAGCTAATCTTATTGCAATCTTGTAATCGATCAATCAGTCAATCAATCAAACGTTGAAGAAATAAAAGTTTTTAATGGATGTCAATAAAAGAATCATCACAAAAAAACAATTATTGGTGGTTGAGTTGTTTTTTTTTTATTTTAACCAGACAAAATTATTATTTTTTTGCTTTGGGACCCATTTATTTAAACCAAAGTTATTTATTAATGCGCAACAATAATAAAACCGTTTTTAATTTTTTTACTCCTAATTTTTTTTACGTTTTTCTAAGAGAACAGTCTCTAAGAATGGGACACAGTCCTTCTAAATCTAAAAGCAACCTAACTTATCTAGATAAGCTATAGAAGCATAGCAGCAACTAAAATTGTTCCTTAGGTTATACAGATCAAAATCTATTAAACTACAGGCAAATGAAATGCATGTCATATACATAAATACTTCAGATAACAGTAACTTGCAAACGTTTGTGTAAAATTCTTCGATTTATTCCATACATAACTAGTTCCTATACATTATCCCAACATATATGTGTCTATATATTTATGACAGTTACAAATAGGTAAACAAAAATTATTTGTGGGCGATCAATTTCTGAAACAAAGAAACAGTAAAGTTTTTTGCTTATAGATAGATCTCAGTTACTTAGTAATGAAGTATATATACTTCATTATTAAGTACATTATTATGTAACATATTACATACTTAATTCATAAAGATAAAATACGATTATACACTTTCTCTTACAAAAAAAGTGGGCTCATAAAGTTCTCTAAAACTTATAGGGTTATAAGATAGGACGTCCATTGCACCTAAGTTTTTATCCACACTGTAGGTATATTGCGTGTTTAGAAAAAAACCTGGGCCCAGTGATTGGAACAATTACTTTTAAAAAATAATGTATTACAATTATTACTCATTATTCAGTAAAAATCGTAATTCATTACAATTACAAATTACTTTTATTTAAGGAATTCATTACAATTACTTATTACTTTTAAAAAATAAAATCATTACTTTAACAATTACTTTTTTGCACTTTGCAAAATTTGATGAAGCCGCAATTTTAGATATTTGTTGTATGGGTCCCAAGGGTCAAGAAAAACGTATTAGAATGAAAAAGGCAGTGAGTGATTTATTTTACTAACGTTTTTGTTACATATTCACATCAGTAAATAATATAAAACAAATAAATACTTCACGCAAGAGGACTATATTCATAATTTAAATTCAATAATAACTTAACTGACATTCAAAATTTTCGTCAGCTAAGGCATGACGTTTTGTCTTAACATCGTCCGCGCCAACAGTAAACATCCTTTCCACTGCGGCGCTAGATGGAATTGTTGTGTTATATTTCATAAACGTGTCTCTAAAACATAGCGCACCTTGATTAAGTAGGTCTAATAGTCTCCTTTTATTTTTTAAAAAATTGTCAAAACGCGTTTTTATCAAATCTTCATCGACTCATTTTTATACCTAATTGTTCTTCTAAGGTTATAATGCCATCGGTTTCGTGATATTTACTCTTTACCCCACATAATAGGTCGAGTATTTATTTGCCGCGTATTATTTAACATCGAACTAACAATTTTTTCACAACTAGTATAGGGCAACATGTTACATATTTTACCAAAAATTGAAGAGCCTATTGTTTTACGCCTAATTTCGTTCCACTCTAGCTATTGTACAAATAAAAGTTCGATGCCAACTGCAACAACTTTTAAACAAAAATTTGCATTGGTGGGAGATTTCAAAATATCTTATTCGCTACGTGTAAATGTATCGTAAATATTAGTCCACCGATAATTACCTGCAGGCGCAAATCTTTTAATCTTTAATAAAAAGGATGTTCCTAAATACCTAGAAGGAGGCTACAAGATAATGTAAATTTAAAAGTCCCTCTCTAATTGCCTCTTATTTCGCGTTGTGACTTACAGTTTAAATTTAGAAAACTTTGGAGGGTGGACACTCTCATAAAATTTTATTGTCGGGTTATGAGGGGGTTAAAAGCACGGGCTCTATCAGTTACCTGTTATAGATTTGAGTGGATCAGAAAAATGGCTAAAGTTTGTTTGACCACAAATTTTAAATATTCTGCACCTGTTTACTCATTATATTTTTTGACAAGTAACGCATTACAATTACTCATTACTTAAAAAGGAATTGAATTACAGTAATGAATTACTTGTAATTGAATTACTTCCAACCACTGTCTAGACCCATAGCCGTTTTATTTTTTCGTGTATAAATTGTGTGCTACGTGAAATTAAATGGTGTCAAATATACTTCGACCTCATTTGAAAAATTAATGTTTCGCGTTCATTTGTTTCTGTTTACGACCTTCATCCTTTTTGAAATGACACCTTATATTTTTTTAAAGATTCTTCTAGAGATTTTCTGAATTCCGTGCTTCTCTGAAACAAAAAATTCTAATTACTGATAGCTTATCTGAGTTATTTTCGATATTAAGCTATATGCGTTGGAAATACTGCAAGTTTTATTAGCGTTAATCGTGCAATTTAAAATTATTCCCGAACGAGTGTAATCGATACTCAAAAAGTAATATAAGAAAATAACTTATGGAGATATTTTTTTATAATGTATTAAAAATTCATATATTATTAAATAAATATATACCTTGTGTTTAAAAAAGCCCAGGCCTTATTTATTCGAGTGCAGTATTATGTGATACGACAAATTAAATCGTTTTAAATCAACCACAATTTGATTTGAAAAATTAATCTTTAAAGTTAATTTGTTTTTGTCTACAATATTCATTTTTTTTTAGTGATATCTTTTATTAAATTTTTTAAAAGGTGTTCGTAGAAAGTTTTTTCTGAATTACTCATGTATCCCGGTGTCACATTTTGTTAAAAAGTTGTAGCAAAAATTAATTTAATCTTTGTGTCACAACTGATTTTAGCAAATTTGATGATTTTGTAACTTTTATTAATACATATACAGAAGTTTTTAAAATGGAAAATTAAATTTCTTCTATACAAAAATAAGAATTACCTTAAGGTAATTTATTATCAATGAATTCAGAAAAAAAAGTATTTACAACAATTTCTAAAAAAATAAATAGGCTAAGATTACGGGCCTGGGTTTTCTTTTTCAAACAGAGGGTATATATTGTATCAAAAATGTTAGTCTTCAAAAAGAGTGATTTTTATATATACCTAATGGAACGACGAAAGTGAGAAAAAAAGACAAATGCTATTTAAACTAGGTACACTTAACTGTTAAATGTACAAACCGATACATGATAGCATATGTTTTACTGTCAGTAGTGCTAACGTATTGTCACAAACCACTAACTTAATATCAGCTGTAAAGGTTGATTTTTGTCCGACATTGATCATTTGCTTTTGGTAACGACGTGTACGCATAGATTCGATGCCTCGACTTTATTGGATTCTGGATTCTGGATTCTTAATTTATGGGGGCTGACCGTGGCCAGCC